CCCTAGCTCCCCAAGGAACATAAAAAGGACAATTCCTGTCCCTTTTACGGGCTCATAACTCTAAGGGGGTGCATGTGAGAGGGTCGTGATTGATTGAGCAAACAGAGGGTACATGACTGGGAGTTGTTTGCACCGGTAATTAGATCAGAATGAAACAAGATAGGGATTTTCACAGTACATTTCTATACAATGTCTGCAATCTATAAGATAACAGAACCAATTAGGTCAGGGGTCCATATTTAACTACCAGGCCCACGCCGGGCTGTCTGCCTGTGGATTTCATTTCTGCCTTTTAGTTTTTACTTCTTCTTTCTTTGGAGGCAGAAATTGGGCATAAGACAATATGAGGGGTGGTCTCCTACCTTATCGTTATCTTTGATTACTGGGGATGTTAACTTTGATCACTGGGCTAAAGTTCCTCCACTGCAAAATGACGCTTTTCCTTGAAAGCATTTTTAAACAACCAATCCTTGGACGACACCGCACATCAGCCAAATTAGATACACTTGAGGGATGGTACAGGCATTGGTAGGCTTTAAACGCCCTATAAGTGACTCTAATCAGTATCCAGAATTGTAAACCTACGGCTTAGACAGTGAAGATTAGAATCCTGAAAATCAGCTAGGAGACCATTCCTAAGGCTTCTCTTTTAAAAAAATCTAATTCTAAACAAAAGCAAATACATCTGGATTTTGGCATGGACATATGGTAGAGAAATAGAGGAAAAATAGAAATCACCTGATGGGGAAAGAGATAAGTCAGTAGACTGCAGTCCAATTTGAAGAAAAAAAAAAAAAAAAAGGGCACAATCAGGTGTGATGACACTTGCTTGTAATTCCAGTATTTTGGGAGGGAAAGTGGGTAGATCACTTGAGCCCAGAAGTTGGAGACCAGCCTGGGATATCACCAGCCTGGGTGAAACCCCATCTCTAGAGAAACAAACACAAAAAATTAGCTAGGCATGGTGGCACGTGCCCGTGATTCCAGCTACTTAGAAGGCTGAGACAAGAGTATTGCTTGAGTTCACAAGGTTGAGGCTACAGTCAATTATGATCTCGCCACTGCACTTCAGCCTGGGTATGAGAGTGACACACTCTCTCTTTAAAAAAAAAAAAAAAAAAAAAAACAGTAAAAATAATGTTCTAAGGTCGCATCTAGTACAAAAACTGCACTTTGTTCTGTGATGTTTAAATGCCATAATTAAAATAGAACATGGAGGTGTTTCCATATGAATAGCTGAAAGATTCTCTACTTTTAATGCAACTGCATCATATTCTATTGTGTAGATACAAGGTAATCTGTTTAGTAAGCATCGTGCTGGTAAAAGTATAGGTTGTTCCCAATATTTTGCTGTTAGACAAACAATACAGTGAATAACCCTGATTAGGCATCATTTTTCATGACTGGTAGTGTGATAAATTTTTCCCAGTAAAGGTTGGAAGGCAAAAATATATAATTTTAAAATTTTGACATGCATCGAGAAATTTTACTCTATAAGGTTTCTACATATTTTTATGTTCCAAGAAAAGTAGGGGAGGGTAATATCACCTCAGTTGCTCTCACACAAATGTCCTGAGTGACAGGACTTGTAGGGACACAGGCATACAGCCGTATCCCTGGTGCCCACACAGGGCAGGGGCATCTGGATCCTGGGAAGCTCCAGGAAAGGTGAGAATCCCCTCTAGAGGACACCCTGCTGAGTATCAGAAAGGGGTTAAGGAAGTCCAGAGTTTACAGCAGGTCTTAAACTAAGGGAAAGTTCAAACGGAGGGCAGCAAGGTTCAAGGAGGTGAGAAAGTGGTAGAGACTGATGGAAGGGGAAGGTAAAAAGCTCCAGGGAAGCTAGGGGAAGCACATCAGGGCTCTCCACTCAACTTCAGCATTGAACTTTGTAGTGGTCGTGCTGTTGGGGCTCTGTGAGCTCTAGAATGTTCAGCACTATCTGGGGACTCTACCCCCTCAAAGCCAGCAGGACTCCCTCCCCTAGCTCTGACAACCAGCAATGTCTCCAGACTTTGCCAGTTGCTTTTCCGAACGCAAAAATTGACCCTAGCAGATGTATTAATCTACACTAATCTATAAAAGCAAATCACCACTAAAATCCATCACCTCTTGGTAGAAGAATTACAAGTGTGAGAGGGGTAAAATGGAGGTCTTCAATATCTATTGAAATGACCTTTACTTAATCAGCAATTTGATGTCCCAGAAGGCATGTTTAGAGGTGATGTCACAGGGCTGCCTGTACCTCACAGCAGAAAGGGTGTGGGTTATCCAAGGGTCTGTAACCATGAACTGGAAATGTCTGTAACTGTGAAAGGGAATGACACCCATTGGGTTATGTTAAAAAATTGATGTAGGGAATTCTGTAGATATTGGGAGAAAAAGTTACACAATGTAAACCCAAACCCCATTCTGATTCTCTCACCATTTTAGCGCCATCTTGTCTATCTTTGAATGGTAGCATAGGGATTTTTGTATAATTTAAAAACTCTATACTGTTGGATCATTTTTAAAATATGAATAAATCCCAAACTGGACACTGCTGGAGTCTCACTTTTGCCCAGGAGAGCTGACAACATCCTGCTCCCCCTGGCCTGGACACTGTCTGGCTCAGGGGACTAAATGCTCTCTTATTATGGAGAAAGAAGATGTTTTGAACATTCATCATTCACTCATTCACCTCTCACACCCGTTGACCTCTCAAACCTCTTCCCCACTCGTGGATTTCATTCTCAATTTACTGAGCTCCATTTCTGTCCCTCATCCATTTCAACATGTGGTGGGTCCAGGTGGTGGCTTCTGCCCATGGTTTTGTAAAAAACAAACAAACAAAAATAAAAATAAAAAAGACTTTCAAAACTGCTTTGCCAGACACCCCCTTCAACTGACCTCCACCTGCAGCACCATGATCATACCAGCAGAATTTCAACACTTTTTCTGGTAGTCAAATACTTTCCATCTCTCATTAGGAAATGTGACTCTCTCCACGCTGCATAAACATTTCCCAGTAGAAATGAACACAGAGATACTGCCTGTGTGATCCAACAGGAAAATGGTTTCTATAAGAACATGTGAAAGCTGCAATTATAGAAAAGACCACCTATAACATATATTATGTAGATGATTCTCACCATTCCTTTAAGCGATACGTTGTAAAACATGACATTAATACTTATTCTAGAAGAATAAAGCATGCATACTGTTTTCTTAAATTAATTTTAATAAGGTGGTTCCTCCCACGTGCCCAGGCTGGGCCTCTGAACAAAATTCTCCATCTTCAGGGGCAATGCCTGAGAGCATGACATGGACTTAGGCCTGATATGCAGCCATCCCTGTCCACCCTGTCCCTGCTGCAGGACAGTACCAGCCCAGGGCCCAAATCTCTTGCTGAAGAGCTGAGAGAGAAAATGGAATATCCAAAGCCTCTTAGCTTTCCCCAGTCCACTGAAATGGGTACCAGTGCAGTCCATTTGCCCCTGAGGACACCCACCTCTTGGTCTTTGGCTTCTAAGAGTCAGACCTCACTGGCTTCTCTGAGTCTCAGCTGCTTTCACTCTGCTGAGCCCTGCTCTTTCCCATGGGGGTCACTCCCCTGCAAGGCATGTCCTCCAGCTCCAGCTGACAGGTCAGCCAAACCAGAACCAAGAGAATGAGCAAAGACTTCTACATCTAGTATGTCCAGCAGAGAACCAAACTGTACAAAAAATAAAGAAGTAGAGATGAACACAACTCCCCTGACAACATTGTGTCCCAAAGCGATGTCTTCTGTGCTCCTCATTAAGGAGCTCACTGTCCCTCAAATAAAGGTGCAGAAACAAGTAGGTAACCACATGTGAGACAATAAACTTAGAGAACTGTATTTCCAACCATATCAAACAATTATCTAAAAATGGATCAGTGAGTTAATTATAAGATCTATAACCATAAAAACATCTTAGAAAAAGACATAGGGGTAAAACTTAATGACCTCAAATGTGCCACGGATTCTCAGCTATGACCCAGATGCATGAGAAAGAAAAAGGAAAAATAGATAAATTGGGCTAAAGATGCAAGCCTTTTGTGCATCAAAGATATTATCAAGAAAATAAAAAGACCAAACACAGAATGAGACATAAAAGTTGCAAATCACATAGACAATGATTTCATGCCCAGAATAGATAAAGAACTGCTACAACTGGATAACAAAAAGACAAACCACCAATTTATACAAATGGGCAAAGGACGCAAATAGACATTTCCTCAAAGAAGATATGTAAATCATCAAGAGGGATATGAAAAGAAACTCAACATCATAGTCATTAGGAAAATACAAAGTGAAAGCCACAAGGAGATACCACACTACACCTACAAATATGGCTACCGTTCTTTTCACATGTTAAATAACAAGTGAAAGCCTTATGCAGAATTTGGAATCCTCATACATTGCTGGTGAGATTATAAAAAGGTACAGCCACTAGCAGAAACAGATGTGCTATTCCTCAAGAAGATAATCATAGAATTCTCATATAAAAGAGCACACATTCCTAGGTATGTACCCAAAGAACTGAATCCAGGGACTCAAATAGATACTCGCATGGGACTGTTGATTGCAGCATTACTCATAAAAGATAAAATATGAAAACAATCCAAGTGTTCATCAACACATCAATAAACAAATGTGGTGACACATACAACAGGATGTAAATCTGCCATAAAAAGGAAGGAAGCTCTGACATCCGCTGGAATATACACGGACTTTGGAAACACTATGCTAAGTGAAATATGTTAGAAACTAAATAACATATATATATGTATAATTCCATTTACATGAACCATCTAGAATAGGCAAATTCATAGAGATAGAGTAGAGATGATCAAGGTCTAGGGTGGAAAATACAGGGAGTTATTATTGTTTCAATGATACAAAGTTTCAGTCTAAAATGACAAAAATTTTCTATGGAAAACAGTGTTGATGGGAACTTAACACTGTGTATATGGTTAATACCACCTGATTGCACATTTTAAAGTGGTTAAAATAGCACATAATTCACAGAACTGTGAAAAATCAATTTCTATTATTTAATTCACCGAGGCTAAGTTGTTTGTTATAGCAGCTAAAGCCCGTGAATACATCATCTGACCCAGTGTTTTCCATGAAACATATCACTTTTTCAATCAAGTTAGCTGGAAGCTCCCAAGCCCATGTGCAGTGCTCAGCCCCAGACATCACTGTCTCCAGGGTATACACAGTGCCGCCTACTGCACACACACACAAACTCACAGAAGGTGACAAAAATCTGCATTCGGGACATCCGATTGTGAAAGAGGGAGAACAGTGAACGTGGAGCCACAGAGAATGGGACTCACTGGGCTGGAAGGTGATGGAGCTGTAATATAACATATGTGTGACCTCGAGTGAAATGTGCAGATCCTTGTGGAATAAAACACACAGCCTGGCAGGGACTTCGGCCACCCACACTTCCCTTCCAGTTCACCAGAGGGCGGCAGAGTCCCTCCGGCCTGGAGCCTTCCCAGGGGAGGCCGACGTCCCTCAGCAGAACCCATAGCCAAGCAGGGTCCACCCTCACCAGGGTCACCTCGGCCCAAGACCTCAACGTCCTCCATGCTCCCCACATGGACTCTGTCAGCTCCTCCCAGACCTGGCGGCCGCCAATCTAATACCACTCCCTCTGCTGGCAGCTCCTGCCCCACAGGCTTGCTCCTTCCCTGGGCTCAGCTAAAAACACATCTCCCAGGGCAGCGATGGTGCACACGAAGCCACATTGCACGCTTTCCCCTCGGGACCTCCCTCCATCCTCATCAACTCTTTCTGTCACTGCTCCCTAAACGCCCGCCCGTGCTCCATCTGTCCTGTTCTGTGGGGCATCCCAGGCCAAGCCTAGCGCTGACACAGAACAGCGGCTGCCTGAGGGCCCACAGCCTCCCCGGGAATCAGTCAGGTACCCCGGGACTTGTCTGCCCGCTGCACCCCGTGGGGCTCAAAGCGTGTGTGATGGTCACACACAGGCACCGTCCAGGATGTGGCCGCCTACCCCCGTCTGTCCCTTGGAAAGACAGACCTCTCCTGTGTCCCTGCTAGGAGAAGGGGGTATTATTGCTCTTTGCTCCCAGAACACAACTCACCCTCACCTGCCCTCTCAGGGGTGACCAACGTCCCTCCAAACAGAATCTCTGGCGACTGCCTGTTCCTCCTCTACAGAGAGCAGCTTGGCCAATTCGGAACCCTCAGGATAGACCCCTGGGTATGTCAGCACATGCAGGGCTGAGCCCATCATGACCACAGAGTAAGTCGGGATGAATCTCTCCAGCTCTAAACCCCTGCTCTGTCCCAGGCTCCCCATCCTGTGTCTCAACGAGCCATGTTCCACGGGGTTCCTGGGTAACTCCCCACTTCCTCCTGCACCACCATGGGGAAGTGTACTGTGCTGACCACAGTACCGTCAGCTGGGCACAGAAGAGAGGACACAAAAGATGGTCAGGAAGAAATGAGAAACCCTGAGCCCCAGCTCAGCCACCAGTCCCTAGGGAGCAATAGAGTGACTGAGAACTGTCCTTTGACCATGGGACTCACAGCCCTCACTGAGCAACCAGCACAGGCCTCTCCTCCCAAGAGGCATGAGAGATTCACCCTGCACACCTCCAGGAAGGACACTTTCCTGTGGGACACCCAGGTCCTGAATGTCCATCCTTGGAAGCTGCAGTCAAGCTAGACACAATTAGAGAAA